TTATTTATAGCTGTCAACTCTTTGTTTTTTTAATTAACTGACGTACAATAATTTTTTTATGTTCGATTGAAGTAAATAATTTTCAATGTATTTATTTAATTCTATGGTTGTTTGAGGTTAAAAGCATTGAGTGAGTACATTTTTAATTGATTTATATTTATTAAAACAAATATCGAAATTCAACAGTTTCGAAGACTGTTTACACTCTAATTGAAAATATCGTAAAATGTGCTCACTAGTGACTAGCTTCGTGAGGAAATTCTCGGAGTTCTAGTGAGAACACGTGATCAGTGGAGTTGAACCCTGTCGGGTGTAGTAATTAACTGCTAAAGACAAGTGGATGAGATCGCGCAAAACTGTAGATTGATCAGAGTTTGAAATTAACATCGTTGGATGCCAGCTTAGCGTTCTCGCACGTCACCTAAGGTTCCGAGTTTGGATCCTGCGAGGTGAAGGTTTCGTGGATTCTCATTGCTGATGTGTCTCACAGTGGAATAAAATGGCCGTCCAGTGCTTTCAGGTTTCTGATGGTGTTCTGACAGTGATTGACTGATAATTTCAAATGTCTGAGCTTTTGTTTGTTAAACTTTGTTTAGTTGTGCTGCATGAAATTTTCTGTAAATAATAGTCATCGAATGTAATCTAAATATATATTTTGGATGAATTCCAGTGTGTATTACACTTTCTTTGATCTTTACCAAATAAATCTCCAAAGACTAGAAGAGTAGGGCAGCTATCCTATCCTACTATCAAAGTGTAGTTAGAAGTTATCATTGTTTTCAACCCTTATATATTCTTGTGTTTTTACTAGCGGTTAACTGAGACAGGTGATTCCGTCAGCCTTAGTGAAAAATAGATACACCACAAGTGTTTCCGCTTTTCATAGATTGATTGGGTGGACAATACCTATTTAAGTGTTATTTTCAATAAACATTTCATTTTAAACCTTTTAAGATATCTGTAATTGTATGCTAAGAGTATATCACACTGTAGCATTTCTCAACTGAAAAGATGAAAAACAGAAACATTATTGAAAGTTAACACTTGAAAGGTAATCGCTAATGAAAATTACACTGTTTTAACTAACAATGTCCCACTTCGTACGTAAGTACATCAGTTCAGGTGGCCATGCCCCATCAGCACAGAGATGCGACTGACAGTTCAAATCCAAGAGTGATAGCAATAATAGAAGTATTAGCAGTAATGGAGAAGATAAGGGAGCGAAGATATGATTCGATAAGTATAATTCATTGAGACAAATTTAGAAAGATAGAGATGATGAGGAATTCAAAAGATTAGAATTTGACAGAACAAAAATGAGCGGGAAGACATCTGAAAGATCTGGAATGACATATATTGAGCATTAGGGACGATGTCGGTTAACTTCAGCATTTTATTGAGGGATATCGACTTACAATTCATCCTGATGCATCGTTTTAGGTGGATTAGAAATTAACTAAATACATATTATGATACAAAATTGAAGAAAATGAGTATGAAAATGCTCAGATTTTTCTTTTACAAAAATAAAATTACTCAGTGTTATTTCCTCTTTTCTAATACCTTATTTTTCGATGCAGCTTATGCTGGTCAGCTGTTATTTTATATCGTTTGAATGGTATATAACGCTAAGGAGACGATAGATCTATCTAATTTCTACTAACCGATGCTAAGTTCTCAATATGAAAGAGAACTACGAGTTCTATATATTTGACCGATTCAAAATTTCCATTGATCTTTATTATTTTCTGATTGGCTATTATTACTTTATTGTGTGCTTCAAGGTCATATATTTTCACAACATACAAGGTTATACCGTTTGTCTACTTGAATATTGTTGGAGATGTTAGATTCCCAGAACTCGCCTGATAAATGCCTTATTTTGGATTTCTTGTTTGCGAGCATGGGCTGATCCGTTGACCTTGAGATTCCATTTTCCACCAGGAAAATCCATGGCTGTGATTGGCTGCTGCGTGCATTTTAGTGTGCTATTTTCTTAACTGTCCCAAGGACGTTTCTATGATGTATAAATAAACGAGAGTTGTATGCTTGATTGTATTGTGATTGCTGGGTGTTTGTAGAATATACTTTCTACGCTTACCAAGTCTTCTGTTTTGCAGTTTGGGATTCAAGGTAGCCTACCTGGACGCTGGTAATTGTCTCGTTCGCGTTTATCGACTAAGGTGAACTCGAGATTTGGCTTCAAACGTACCAAGTGACGAACATAACAAATATTAAGTCTTCCTGCACTTTTTTTACAAAGTGATGTATACCAGTTACGATTGTATATATATATATATATATATATATATATATATATATATATATATATAGCATTATGTATTCAAGTAGCTGACTAATAGATTATATATATATATATATATATATATCATAAACATACTCTCTTACATAATGTTTAAGACAATTAAATCGTATTTATACTTATTAGTTTTCGTGCAATAAATATCACGCAAACTGTAGGTACTTTATCATGTATCATCAATAATAACCAAGATTTTTTTCAGAATTTGATTATTAACAAAACTAGAGGAAACCATTTATTATAAACAGTTATCATCAATGATGCTGATTGAAATGTCTGGTTTGTATTTTTGTATACATTTTTTCACCATCAGACAGATATCAGTTAGATTAACATTGAAAAAAGTGGATTTGTCACTTTACAATTGTACAATTATCAATAGTTCACTCAATTATTGTCAGGAAGGATTCGAGTTATTTCAGGGAAGTTAAATTTTGAATCAATAGCTCAGTGGATAATAGGTTAGGGCGTTATAAAACAAGCAGTACTGACTTCAACTAGCTGCATGGAGGATATCAATACTGCAATTCAGCTGATAATCCAACTGAGCGATTCCATGTAGGAAGAAATACTTGTGCTGAATCTCATTACAAAAAACTTTGATATATTTTAATGAAGTTATAGCTGGTAGATGTTTGCTAATATAGTTTATTTCTGAAAACATGTCAGAAAATCAATCTACGTCGAAATCATCCATAAATGGTTTTTAACTAAATCAAGCATCAATCAAAGTAATGTTTCATGAATGAATATATATATTCCACTAGAGTTGAACTTATTGATTTAAAAAGTATTTTGAGGTATGAAAATTTACTCAGCTGCTTGAAAAATTCAAACTCAAATCCATCATGGACAATAAAAGTCAGTAAATGATGATCAGTCTTCAGTACATAAATTTCCATTCACATTTATTTCGATGAAATTAGTTTTTATTTTGAAAAAAACGAATGAATTGTGAAGAGAGCAAACTATTTGTTATTTGATCCTCCCCCGCCTGGAGCCCTTCTGGAGCTACTGCCGGTCTCAAGCCCGAATAAAAGAGGAGGGTTGGGTAAGCAAGTTGGCGACCCCATCCGATTGAAAAACTAACTCGCTGAAAAAACGCTAACCTTCTTTTTTTAAATACAATTCTCACGTGAATGTATTCATTACAAATGAGGTGTTTCTCTTCTTCTTCTTCTTCTTGGTGTCGAATCCCCAAATTTTTTTCCTATGACTACTTACAATTAACTTCAGTCTGTTATTCAATAACATAATGCTGTTAATCTATTCAGACTATCATCACTAGTTATTTTTTGAGACTGTTTGTAAATGGGCAAATAATGTGGGGAAAATTGTGTCATGCCACAACACGAAAACTAAATCGATATAAAACTTTTTGACAAGAATTGGTTGTAATCACTGTCAAGTTTGATCATTTCAAAAATCCTTAAATGCATATATATATATATATATATATATATATATATATCTTGATAAATTAACTGTTTAACAACGTTAGGTAATGGAATTTTTATGAAAAATTACTCAAATCTCACTTAATGTATATATTATTAGCTCATATGTTTGCACTATAATGCTTGTCATAAATTCGCTGGTATATGATCTTCTATGATAATAATAATAATAATAATAATAATTTTTATGGAGATTAGTGTTTGTTGCACATTAAGCTCATCAATCGAACGTTGTTAGAACACCATTAGAAACTTGGAAGCACTTAAAGAGACAACCGTTTCATTCTGGTATGGGATTTATTAGTGGTAGTGCGAACCTATGACTCCCGCTAGTCGCAGGATTCGAACTCGGTACCCCAGGGTCTTTCACGCGAACGCCTAACTTCTGGACTTTGTGAGCTGGCATTCAACGGTGTTATTGTCCAACTCTGATCAACCTCGTGATTTTGCACGACTTCTTCCATTTGTATTTGGTAGTTACTGCCTACACTCTCGACAGGGTTCAACTTCACTGGCCACGTCTTTTCAGTAGGATTCCGAAAATTTCCTCATGAAGCTAGTCACTAGTCAGCGCATTTTACGATTTATCACTTAGAGTTATGGAGATTGCTTGTCTACGCACAATTAAATGGCATCACATTCTGACAACACTTAAAAAAATGAAACCTTTGAAAAATCATTTAACACTGTATACTCACTTATTAAAAAGTGTACAAAATATCATTTTGATGCCAGATCATATTTCATTAACATCATTCGAATTCACCACAATTGGAAATTCTAATTCCTATGAAGTTGATTTTAACTAGGATAACTTTTCACCGAATCAGTTTTTTTGAAAAAAGAAAACCTTTTCCCTAGTTCTGTCACCATGTATTCATTCATGTCTACAAATTGTAATGCGTGGGACCTGTTATTTATCTGTTTGTCTACAGTGAATACATTTGAGACAGTTTGAAGTGTTATTTGCTTTGTTTTTCTGTTAGGTAAAACACGCATAAATCAGTTTCTTTAACACTGTTGTTGCTGTTGCTCTTCATTGCTTTTTTTTCCTTGCTTTCAACCAATCGGTGATTTATTTCGTCTAATGTCGGTTGAGCATACAAACACAGGTGAGATACTTGGACAAATAAATAGATATATATCATATATATGTATATATATGCATACAGATATATATATATATATATTTATATATATATATATATATATATATAACAATTAAATTTAGACAAAAGAGACTACTACATTGTTTCAGTACACGTTCCAGTACTAAATAACTTCCCATCAATAGTTAAACTGATTAAGTTTCATTCAAACAATTATTACATAATTGCAAAATTCAAAAAATGAATCATCATTTCATGGCAGCGACATTATTCATCCTATTTATTGGTAAGTGGTTCAGTATTTTAATAAAAAATCCTGTGAAGTGCAGGAGTTGTGAATGTGCACTGCCACTGATGAGTCCCCACCTCATATCAGGGCTATGAAACGGCCGTCCAGTGCTGCCAGGTTTCTTTTCGGCTTTTTCAAACATTATAATATGATTTGTTTAAAATCGAAATAATTGTTTTTTTAAAGTACTTTTGTAGAATGTGAATGATTTATACATTGTTGTAAAATAGGTTAAGATTTTTTATTTCATTTGATATCAGCCAAATGTGACTATCAGATAGATGTGATTATCGAAAATAATGGCTAATTCTGTGTCAAGTCTGGCTTTGACAATTAAACTAAAAAATTCTCAAAAAAGACTAACACTTTAAGTTATCTAGTGTTAATGACTATGTGGTGTTGTTATTTGAACAGTGATATTTCATACCAGTGAGCATGAATAACCCCGGCCCCGCTAATTACTACTTATTTTGTCAAATAAATAGAAAATTTTACAATGAGAATCTTTTTTTTAGTGCTGTACAAAATTATTATTAGGTGTTTAGAAAATGTGTACATTTGAAAATGGTCAATAGTAATTGAGCTCTGTGTGCTAGTGTTTAATGTTTTAGAATCGATACAAAAAGTTAATTGGTGATGATGATGATTCTGTCATCTCTCTATCAACTGGAGTTCGACATTTTACAAATCATATTTCGGTTAGGATATTCACCAAGTGTCCTACAAACAATTATTTTATATCAGTGTCACGTACTCCAATATTGTTTCCTATTGATCATGTTAACTGTCAATGTCACATACTTCGTCTCTGTTTCCTATTCGACCTAAATGTATATAAATACGCATTATCTGTAACGTTTTACAACCCGGAATTGGACCCGGATCCTCAGTCGGGATCCTTGTCTTCTTCTGGACTTGGACCTCGTACTTTCTGGATACTTGTAGAATACAAGTTCTAATTCATATCAAGTCTTCTTCTTTGATTCAATGAGCATTTGGACAATCGGTCTAGAGTAGCATGTCATGTTGCCGGATCCTCGATCCTCTCTCTCGTCCTCCGACTAAGGTAAACTCATAATAATAATAATTCAAGCATCTCAAATGACATGTTTACGTGTATGCGCAATGATTTCACAATTTTGTTTTGTAAATAAACCGTTTTATCAGTGTAGAACTTTGTTTTCGGATAAATAATATACATATATATATATATATATATATATATATATATATATATATATATATATATGATTATACAAAGCAAATTCATAGGGTTGACCAATGTTTAGCCCAGACTTAATTTTATGTCTCTGCTGACTCTATTCCTGTTCGATTTTTCTCACCTCCTTTAAATGAATAATCCTACAGAGTTCTTTCGAATGTTCAATCCTTAATTGATTCAAAATTAATCAGTCTTAAAACAAACGATCATTTAGTGGTGATAAACTTTTTTAAAATTCACAAAACAAAAAAATCTTTTCATCTAATAGACTGTTGTTATGAAAGACTAAATGTTTTTTTCTCATGTTTGTGTTTCACATTTGAGGAAAAATTTTCTTGAAAGCGAGTTTAAAAATATACAACCTATCGTGAAAATAATTCTGATGTAATGTCAAAAACTAGAAATTATTAACAAAATTAGATTTATTCACAGTGAAATGATGAAATTTATTGGATAATTTTTAAAATTATATTTTATTTTACAATTTAGTTTCGTTTATGAACTAAGTGTCATACTTTTATTTAAAAAAAGAAAATCGTTTCATATATTTAAACCAAAACGAACCCTATTAGTGGTGTTGTTAAACTCCTTTTTTGTTAAGATAATTGAATCTATTGAGCTGTTTAATTTTTTTAAATTATGAGCAATCTCATGTTAGAATCAGGCTTCTTCCTAATGTAGTGTAGTGCTTTGACAGGATACTGATTTTTAATCACTGGTGTGATTGTTTGTTGTGGTTAAGTGAATATATATATATATATATATATATATATATATATATATATATAATCACTGGTAGTGATTTATCATTATTTCCTGGCTGTACAGTTCGGCATGCTGTATATTTCTGGCTATTTCGTATATTGCATCTACAATAATTAGAAACAGTTTACCTTGGATTGGGCCAGCGAAATCTGCATGAATTCTCTCCCAAGGTCCAGTAGGTTTCTGCCATTGTTGGGGCTCGCATTTCGAACGGTTTTTTTGCGGCTTGTCAGCACGAAAGGTAGTTTCGGCATTTGGATTCTATTAAACTATTGGGAGAGAAAGCATAATGGTACGGGGTCTTTTTAGGTCGAAAAAACAGGAATAGCTGTTGGACTTGAGAGTCAGTAGTGCTTTGGCTTTCATACATTCGCCCAACGCTTCCGAAAATACTTTTTATAATGGCATTTGTCAGATTTGACTCTAAGGGTTATTGATTCTAACTCCGCTGCAGATATTGTTGATAGGATATATATATATATATATATATATATATCCTATCAACAATATCTGCAGCGGAGTTAGAATCAATAACCCTTTAGAGTCAAATCTGACAAATGCCATTATAAAAAGTATTTTCGGAAGCGTTGGGCGAATGTATGAAAGCCAAAGCACTACTGACTCTCAAGTCAACAGCTATTCCTGTTTTTCGACCTAAAAAGACCCGTACCTTATGCTTTTCTCCCAATAGTTTAATAGAATCCAAATGCCGAAACTGCCTTTCGTGCTGACAAGCCGCAAAAAAACCGTTCGAAATGCGAGCCCCAACAATGGCAGAAACCTACTGGACCTTGGGAGAGAATTCATGCAGATTTCGCTGGCCCAATCCAAGGTAAACTGTTTCTAATTATTGTAGATGCATATACGAAATAGCCAGAAATATACAGCATGCCGAACTGTACAGCCAGGAAATAATGATAAATCACTACCAGTGATTATATATATATATATATATATATATATATATATATATATATACACTTAAGCACAACAAACAGTCACACCAGTGATTAAAAATCAGTATCCTGTCAAAGCACTACGACAGTAAGAAGAAGCCTGATTCTAACATGAGATCGCTCATTATAAAACATAAATAAACTCAACAATTCAATTATCTTAACAAAATAAGGAGTTTAACAACACCACTAATAGGGTTCGTTTTGGTTTAAACGTATTAAACGATTTTCTTTGTTTAAATAGAAGTATGACACTTAGTTCATAAACGAAACTAAACTGTAAAATAAAATATAATTTTAAAAATTATCCAATAAATTTCATCATTTCACTGTGAATAAATCTAATTTTGTTAACAATTTCTAGGTTTTTGACATCATATCAGAATTATTTTCACAATATATTTGTATATTTTTTTAATAATCTCATTCAAGAAACTTTTTTTTTTCAAATGTGAAGCAAAAACATGAGAAAACAAAATTTAGTCTTTCATAAGAACAGTCTATTAGATGAAAAGTTTTTTTGTTTTGTGAATTTTAAAAAAGTTTATCACCACTAAATGTTCGTTTGTTTTAAGACTGATTAATTTTGCATCAATTAAGGATTGAACATTCGAAAGAACTCTGTAGGATTATTCATTTGAAGGAGGTAAGAAAAATCGAGCAGGAATAGAGTCAGCAGAGACATAAAATTAAGTCTGGGCTTAACATTGGTCGACCCTATGAATTAGCTTTGTATAATTATATATATATATATAGATTTTTTATTTATCCGAAAACAAAGTTCTACACTGATAAAACGGTTTATTTAAGAAAATTTAATAGTGAAAACGTTACGCATGCACGTAAACATGTCATTTGCGATGCTTGAATTAATATTATTATGAGTTTAACTTAGTCGGAAAACGAGAGAGAGGATAGAGGATCCGGCGACATGACATGCTACTCTAGACCAATTGTCCAAACGCCCATTGAATCAAAGAAGAAGACTTGATATAAATTAGAACCTGTATTCTACAAGTATCCAGAAAGTACGAGGTCCAAGTTCAGAGGAAGGCAAGGATCCCGGACTGAGGAGGCCGGAAGAGTCCGAGTCCGGGTAGTAAAACGTTATAGATAATGCGTATTTATGTGCATTTAGGTCGAATAGGAAATAGCAACGAAGTCGGTGACACTGACAGTTAAGATGATCAATAGGAAACAAGATTTAAGTACGTAACACTGATATAAAATAATTATTTGTAAGATATTTGGTGAATATCCTAACCGAAATATGATTTTTAAATGTCGAACTCCAGTTGATAGAGAGATGATAGAATCATCATCATCACCTATTAACTTTTTGTATCGATTCTAAAACATTAAACACTAGCACACAGAGCTCAATTACTTTTGACCATCTTCAAATGTACACATTTTCTAAACACCAAATAATAATTTTGTACAGCACTAAAAAAAAAAGATTCTCATTGTAAAATTTTCATATTTTCTTGACAGAATAAGTAGTAATTAACGGGGGCCGGGGTTATTCATGCTCACTGGTATGAAATATCACTGTTCAAATAACAACACCACATAGCCATCAACACTAGATAACTTAAAATGTTAGTCATTTTTGAGAATTTTTTAGTTTAATTGTCAAGTCAGACTTGACACAGACTTAGCCATTATTTTGGATAATCACATGTCTGATAGTCACATTTGGCTAATGTCGAATGAAATAAAAAATCTTAATCTATTTTACAACAATGTATAAATCATTCACAATCTACAAAAGTACTTCAAAAAAACAATTATTTCGATTTTAAACAAATCATATTAAAATGTTAAAAAAAGCTGAAAAGCAACACACATAATAGTGCATATTTTATTACGCGGTTGTGAAGATGCTTAAGTTACACAATTTAAAATCATCGGTCAATGTGAACACAACCATTAGAAACCTGGAAGTACTTGACGGCCGTTTCATGGCCCTGATATGAGGTGGGGACTCATCAGTGGCAGTGCACATTCACGACTCTTGCACTTTGCACGAGTTTTTATTAAAATACTGAACC